ACACTAGATCACTGGTTTACCTATTCGGTGTTTTGCAAGATGCAGTGGTGAAGTTCTCCATCTTGATTTCTCATCAGCAAGTAACAGGAAGTGAGATCTCTCACTTCCCCACCAGAAACCGAGCAAATGCACAGCTTGTAGACCCTCAGTGTCAAGCATTACTTGTGAGTCAAGTGACCTCAGAAATATTTAGGTGATAAAACTTCATTTCCAGGTAGTGCCATTTGGGTTCCCGTAAAGCATGGTTCTATCTTAAAGGATGCTTTGTAAAAATGGCTCTGTGGGGTTCCATATTTATTATTTCTCACTGGCTCCTGAAGTTTGGTCAGTTTTAAAATAATTCCCACCCCACACAACTGCCAGGTCCACAAATTCAGGCTGGGCTCTGACAGTCAAGCTGGGCTCCATCCCATGGATCATCACCAGAAACAAAGGTTCTGCTAGCCAAATCAGACCCTCAGTCCAACCCCATTACCTTCAGGTCATGCCCTCCATGATACCTGGGCAAACCATCTCATGGCTAATGTTGCCAAAGGCATCGTTTGACCTGCAGGATTTATATCACTGGAGATCACATGCAAGACAGAAAGGATGCAGGGTGAATTTGCAGGGCTGGTAACTAGCAAAAATGTGAGGCTCTCTCTTTCCCATTGAAAACTGAGCAAGTTTGCTATGAAAAAACAATCAGAGAAGCACAATGAATATGTAACTCTGCAATATCAGTTTTCAGAGTAGAACAGCAACAAGCAAAACAAAAAGCATACCACTCAAACTATGGTTAGGCCCCAAAAATTATTTTCCTAGAGAAACCTGTATCTTATGCAGTATCCCTGTATTATTTATAATTCTCTACAGATGCCACATAGGCTTTAGCTTTCCCAAACAAAGCTACATTTCAGGACCTAAACAAGCTGACAGTGACTCTTAAACCTATCAGTCTAGATCAGGCTTTGAAATTAACTAGCAAATCTCAAAACGATGACAAGGCTATAAAGAAAGTCAGCCACCAAGAACTGCGCAACTAAACCCACCTCAGATTAGCAGCTCACACTCAAAGCCTGGCCATGGTTACATCAGAGTTTTAACATTGACTAATGTTGAATTTCAGGGGGGAAACCAAACCAAAACTCCCAGAACTTTCTTTTTCCAGTTGTCTCTGCAGATTGAACAGATCCTGTCCCAGCCCCAAGAGAAACTAAACTATTCATTCGTGGGAAGGGGAGGGGGCAATGCATTATAATTGCTTCCAGGGTGCTTTTGTTTCTGTACAGCCCATGAGGCAGGTATCCTATAATGTAACCAGAACCTATTTAGACTGTCATCCAGCGATCAGTCTGAACTGTGCCCCATCAAAGCGCGCAGCCTCTGCCCCCCAAGAGGGCTGTGCCAAAGGCCACTCTCCTCTTTTACAAGTAGGGTGACCAGATGTCCCGATTTTATAGGGACAGTCTCGATTTTGGGGTCTTTTTCTTATTTAGGTTCCTATTACCCCCCCCCCCCCTCCTATCCCGATTTTTGACATCTGCTGTCTGGTCACCCTAGTTACAAGCCGCCCAAGCTCCTGCAGCGACCCGCCAGGCCCGGGGAGGAGTCCAGCGCCAGGGGCGCAGAGCAGCTGTCAAACAGGGGGCCATGCCCGACTCTGCCCCGCGCCTAGGGGACGGGAGGAGGCAGAGCCGGACCCACGAGGGGCTGCGGGCGCCCCCTGGCCAGGCAGCGGCTGGAGGGCTGGCGCCGGGCTCGGCTAGGGGGCACCCGGGGGGGGGGAAGGGGCAATAAGGGGGCGCAGGGGACGGGGAGGAGCAGGGCGGAGACGGACACAGGAGGAAGCGCCGGGGCCTAGGGAGCGGGGCCCGGCCACAGCGCCCGGCCCTCACCGATGCGGCCGCCCAGGTCGGCCAGGATGTCGTGGCGGCCCAGGGCCCGCAGCAGCACCAGCAGGCGGCCCACGGTGGCGCCGCCGGGGCAGCGGCCCGGCCAGTCCTCCAGCAGGCGGGCGGCGGGGTCGGGCTGCGCCTCCAGGTGCTTGATCTCCAGGTACTCGTAGCCCAGCTCCTCGGCCAGCGCCGTCCAGTCGGCGGCCACCGGGGCGCGCGGGTTGAGGTAGAGCCCGAGCCGCCGCCGCACCGAGAAGTTCAGCGCCACCAGCGGCACCGCCTCCAGGTCGGGGGGCGCCGGGGAGCCGGGCCCGGGGGAGCCGGAGCCGGAGCCGGTCGTGGCCGCGTCCATGGTTCGTGATCCGCCGCCTGCCGCTTGCGCAACTTCCAGCTCCCGCCCCGGATCCCCGCGGGTTTCGCTTCCCACCCCGCCCCCGGCTGCACCGCGCTGCCCGGCCGGCCCGGCAGAGCCGCCCCTGCGGCCGAGAAGGGCCGGACAGGAGCCCCGCGCCCGGAGCGACAGACACGGCCCGGGACAGACGGGACCCCCGACAGCTACCCCCCCACACACACTCCCGGGGACAGACAGGACCCCATAGCACCCAGCCATCCCCACAGTCCCGGGGACAGACAGGACCCCACAGCACCCAGCCACCCCACCGTCCCGGGGACAGACAGACGTGACCCCCAGCACCCAGCCACCCCCACCGTCCCGGGGACAGACAGGACCCCATAGCACCCAGCCACCCCCACAGTCCCGGGGACAGACAGACGTGACCCCCAGCACCCAGCCACCCCCAC